GATTTGCTTTAGCTCTGTAAGACTTTAAGCTTATCATTAGTGTGTTAAATATGGGTGTTTGAATATTTGTATCATCAAATACAATTGATTTATCTTGTTTGATACTCACTATTTAAAGTAGAAACATATCTTGGAGCAAGAGCTACCACATACTGTATATAGATATCAGATAACAAGGAATAAATATGTAAAACATAAAATCAATAAACATCTCTCGGTCTGATCTCAGCTCTATTTTCCATGTTCATAAACCAAACGCCTGCCAAAGAGCACATGTTGTGAGAACATAAGAAAACCCCGCAGTGTTTTTATCAGCAGCCCCCTTGAGTTCACATTCCTCTTTTAATTTTTAAAGATTAATTTGAGTAGATTAGTTTCTTATGAAGTCTGGAAGTAAGCTTTGCTCACATAAACAAACTTGATTGGCTATGATATTAAATCACAAATAATATTCTCAATAATTACGGGTTTTAGTCTTTTATGACCTCATACTGTCATTTTCAAATGTCCCCAGGTGCCCCTGTGGTCACATTTCGACCCTTTGAAGGAACACTTTGTCCTCTATAAAGCACTAAATTATGAATGGTGGGTCCTCTTTCCCCTAGGGTATTTTTTTTACAGGCAATTACAGTTATATGCTGGCCGCTAGTGAAGTGTGCTGTGGTCAGGGTACATACAGCTGAGGTCATGTCAAAGAATACAAACCATGAGACAAATTGATCTAATGCTGTTTAATTTATTGACATAACGCTAATTATCCTCTGAAAAACGCATTTAGACATGTGGCAAGAAAAAACATCGAACAACAACAATATATTAATATTAAAGGACCAATTCAATGATTCTAAAAATGTCTTTTGTATACTTTATGTACTTGTTATGATGTGACAAATCATTAATGATCAAATAACAGCACAAATAAAGACCAACAGTTTGGTATTCCTAGTTCAAAGTCTCAATTTAAATGGTAAATGATTAAAAACCTTGGAGACACAACAAATTACCAGTGCTTCTTAACTTCCTCTGAGTGCATTGTAATAAGTCTTTGTGCAACGCCCAAGAACATTGACAAGTTTTATGGCCAAGGCGTAACACTAAAAATGTGCCTTACAAAATGTAATGATTTCAAATAGATTCAAATAGATTTCCTTTTTGTTTTGCTTCCTTCACATACCTGCTGATTGGATTAGTAACTCTTCAATCTTTAGGAAGCAGGATAAACAGACGCCCCTGCAGTGCTTTCCCTACTAATCCAACTTTATGGACATCCTGACATAAAATACTGAATGTTTGCGTGTTGAGCATCCATAATAAAGGGCTGCGACCAAAACACATTTAATGGGGAGCTTTAACCTAGAGGAGGGAGGTATCACTCTCCCCACCCTTCCCTTTCCACTAATAGACCCCGACCACGAAGACTTTAAGCCCAGGAAGGGAGAGGCTGCAAGGACACATGCTGCACACTCTCCTTCCGACCATCACAAGAAACTAGGTTATCGTTTTCTGTTTGCTCAGGAGGCTAGAGTCAACTTCTGGCGGGAAGCAGGAGGAGGGTTTCAATCAAGATAATACATGAATAGTTTGGAGTTGCACCAAGAACTTAATGATCAACCACTGTAGAGGAAAAGAAAAAAAACAGAGCAGCATGGCCTCTGTTCCTGCTTTCTATAGCAGAGGTTAAAGGTCACATAAACTCCACGTATCCAAGGTTACAGGTCAAATACTGCCTAATGCCAATGTCCACGTCTTGAAGAGCGCTTTAAAGCACACAAAGGAATTCCATCATTTCCCTTGCAGATTAGCAATTGTAATGAAAGAGGCGTTTTTTAGTATGTTGTTTTCAGTTGGTTCTTCATTTGAACTGAGCTTGCCACTGATTTACCAGATAATTTATTCATAGTTGGCAAATGATGCACTTCAAAAGACTATTAACAGGTTTAAACATGTTTGATACACACTGTTAATTAGCCACCTGACACGTCTAAATCTAAACCTTCAGGGACACGATTGAAAGTGCTGATTGAGCCGTATGCCAGTGTAGTGAAAAAAAAACAATCATTAAAAAAATTGTTTGTTAAAAAAACGACTCATTTATAAACAGCTTAACAGACATAAAATCACAAAAATGGTAGGGGCTAATACAAATGAAAATGAACAATAACTCCAATTTTCTGTCTTTTCAACAAAATACATTTTTTTATTGTCTTCACGGATGAATGAGATGCAGGAATGCATGTAACGAGAAGCCTTCATCTACAAGATCCTTAAGACCGCAGTTCATTCACGGCATGAAGAAGTTGAATATGTAGAGTACACACACACACACACACACACACACACACACACACACACACACACACACACACACACACACACACACACACACACACACACAAAGATTTTGATCATTCAAATGATTTCTGAATGACTCAGCCAGTACTGTAAATCTGGAGGCACCCAGCCTATAGCACTGGTAAGACGATGTGGTTTTACAGAGAGCCACAATTTAAGGCTCAATTCCAAATGTAAGGCTTGTTAAACAGCATTGCACCAGGATGACATTTAACTCTATACTGACTGTGCAGTATATATCAAATGATACATGCAGATTACTCAGTGCATTTGAAAATGTTTCCTGATATTGTGTATATGCTCATAGCAACTGTAGTTGGAGTGTTTTCAAATAACAACATTTCAACAATAAGCTATGCAGTACGACTTCGCTGTGTTCTAAAATTGTTTGCAAGTCACATTCCTGAGCTCCACTAAACCAAAAAAGGTGTCTTTAATGGGAACCTGCAGTTACCTCCGGGGGTCTTTGGTGGACTGTAATGATGTTCTTGGTGAAGGAATGTGTCTTTGTGTCAGCTGCATAAGAAAGAACGAACCCCCACAGATGCATCAGTGTGCGAACCCTCAAGAAATATAATTTGTAACCGCTTAGTTAAGAAGCTTAGTTCAAAATCTTCGTTGGAAAACCCCTCACAAGATTTCGAGAGACAGCATGAAGACCTTTTATATGGACAGACTGATAAAACTCAGCCCCTATGCCACTGGTCTACAAAATGACTGTCAATGCCTGAAGCCTTTTTACTACCTCCTTCAGAAACTCTGGAGGCCCCGGTTCTTTATGAAGCAAACTTACACAGCCTTAACGATACTCGAATATCACATACATCATCTTCCTGTCTGCCACATTATAATGTGCCACCAGTGTTTCAGTAACTGCTGCAGTGAATGTGAAACGTGGGTAAAACTTGTAAATGTCAGATTCTGTTAAACCAATCTGGGTATATGAGTGTGGCTCTTTGTGGGCCAGCCCTCAGCAAAGTGCTGCAGAGGCTTATTAAAACCGCAGCCATCTGCTTCATATAAATCACACCATCTTAGAGACTCATCTGAAAAGATATTCATACCATTTGTGGACTGTGTTCAAGATGATGAAGGTAACAATCATATCAGCACATTTTACTGCAAACTTTATTTCTGAAGAGCTCAAATGACACCCAACCATAGGAAATAAAATGCCATAACACGTAGATTTATGCAGGTGTTGTGATGGATTTGACTTAAAAATGCATATTTACTTAACTGAATACTGTCCACAAAAAGCAATACATTGAAAATGAAATAATATTAATATAAGTGATAATACATGTATGTGGCATGTCATTTATATTTATTTTTAACTATAGATCAGCATTTTAAAGATATACACTAAAGATTTTCTTTCTCTGGTCTCATTTGTATGTCATTGTTCAAGCTGCTGTTGGGTAACAGGAGATTAAAGACTTTTTTCTAAAGGTAACAGTCCAACTGATCTCTTTTTTATATTTCTTCAAAGAGTTTTCTATCTTGTGAGGAATAGATTCATCACAGGTCTGTTGCAGACAATTTACCCTGCAGGCTAGCTTTCTCTTCATCCAGCCAACTGCTTGAATCAATAAAACCTATTTTCTAAAGCCCAGACAACTTTATGTCGATACGTGCCTGTGTCCTTGTAGTACCAAGTGTGGAAAACTATTTTCTTCTATGATGCCATTAAACTATCTGGGTATATCTGTTCATGCCGTCACGTTACTTATATTTTCAGTGAAGGCACAGCTGAATGACAGAGACAGATGGATGGCTGACAAGCAGAAATCTCAGTGACAATAAAAAACAAAACCAGATACTAAAAAGCTACAGAAAAACTGGAGCAGAGAGAATGCTGGATAAATTAAATTGAAAAAAGGATTCAAAGAGTTTCCCAATGCTTTATCTTTTGCACCATTTAGTAATCGGGGTCAAAAGTAACACCCTGATTACAAAACAGTGTCCCCTTTTACCCAACAAAGTTTCCTATGAATCACATAGGTTTTGTTCACAGGCTACTGTTTTTTATAGAATTCTCTGCCAAAGTGGCTTTATATAGTCCAATAAAAAGTATTGGCACCGTGTATGCACAATGAAGAGGCTACTGGCAGTTTTATTACTGTATTCTTCCCCTCAACCAACAATCAGCCTTTCAAATTAAATCCAACGAAAAGGCCGGAGACGTCAGTACATCACTCATTATGAGCTTTGCGCCATCTAGTGTCGAGAAGTAGGGAATGTCTTATTTTGAAGGAGGACGTTTGAGTACAGTAATTAGACTTGATAGCAATTTAACAAACAACTAAATTGAGAACGGAAAGTAAATATGTTTAAAATGTCTCAAATCTACATTTCAGGCTGCAGGGGGAATTATATTTAGAGGTTGAAATTATGAGGCATTTCAGACAAACCTTAACTTTAGAAAATGTTTGAATAAAGGACATTATGATGAGTTCAGATTACATTACTTTTATATTGTGACACTGATATTCCTGCATGCAATATTTTGAATACAGGACTTTAATTGGTTAGAAATTACCTTTTAAATTGAGAATTGCTACTTTAATTTAAGTACAAATTAAGAAGAACTTCTTCCAACACTCAATATGACAGAAACTGTAGCTGTTCATGGTTTTTATTTTGAAAGGTATGAGCGGAAGTTGTAGTGTGTGTTGTGTTGACTGGTGTTAGCTGCCAGGCTGCATGCAGACAGTACCAGCATGGCTTACAGTGCAAAGATCGGGCCGTCCATCCTGAGCAGCGACTTGGCCTGCCTGGGCCGGGAGTGCGTGCGAATGATGGGCTGCGGGGCAGACTACCTGCACCTGGACGTTATGGACGGGTCAGTTAAATGTGTTAATAACTAAAGACAAGCTAGCATGCTAACGACTAGCAAGCCGATAGGAAGTTCAGTGCGCGAGAGCTAAAGTTGAGCTAAAACATCAACAAGCTAACCTAGTTCACCAGAAGTAAAGCTGGGGAAGCCAATATTTATGTAACTGGGTTTATTTTGCTTAAGTGTGTAAATGAAGAGGGTTTTAAAACCTCAGGGTGTCAAACATTATAAGTCTTAACAGCAGACTTCCTCCTTTTACCTGCTAGTGCAGTCATTGCTTACCTTCCTCTTGTGCAATGCGTTTGTTTGCAACTGATAATGCAACAATAGAGAATGTCATTCCAGCTAGAGGTTCATTATCTGTGTTTGTTCCTTTTTTAAGGCACTTTGTACCCAACCTCACATTTGGACATCCGATGGTAGAGAGCCTAAGGAAGTCAGTAGGCCCAGACCCTTTCTTTGGTGAGAGAAGACCCATTCCTTATCATATGCTAGACTTACCATAACCTAATTATCCAATCAAGTTATCCATGCCTTTGCTCTGTGCAGTACTGTTAAAGTTGTAATGTTTCAGACATGCACATGATGGTGTCCCGGCCGGAGCAATGGGTGAAGCCCATGGCTGCAGCAGGAGCCAACCAGTACACATTCCACATAGAGTCCACCACCAACCCTGGAAACCTGATCAAGGAGATACGAGAGAGTGGCATGAAGGTGAGAAAATAAAGCTGCAAAGCATGATGCAGAAAAACATTTGTGCTTTCGCGTGCACATTTTTACAAACATAAGTGAACTATACTGAAACTTTGGGATTTTTGTAGGTGGGTTTGGCCATAAAGCCTGGTACTACTGTTGAAGAGCTAGCACCCTGGGCTAACCAGATCGACATGGCTCTGGTCATGACTGTTGAACCTGGCTTTGGAGGACAGAAGTTCATGGAAGACATGATGCCCAAGGTAAGGAAATACCATAGGTAGAAAGAACAGGAGCCTTACACACCACCGCAAAACCAAATAGGCTTTGAAAAGTGCATACAGTAAATTAGCTTCATTTTTATATTGTGATTTTGAGACATTATAAGTTACAAAAGGGCCATTAGTACTGATTTGACATTGAAAGCAGAGATAAAGAAATCCCTACTATTGCAATTATTTTACTTTTAACTTATATTCACATTATTACCAAACTTGGAAAGAGAAGATCGCATATACCGAAGGTAAAGCACATGGGCAAGAATACAACAGATTGCGCACTGCGCCAAACATTGGTGCCCTGTGCTGACACAGCATTCCCACTATCTGTTATGCTACGCACAAAATTCTTTATTCCGCTGGGTTATTTTGCGCTGCTTCTTCTCCCACATTGAACATCGCAGAAACTCCGTTCAAACATCAAAATGTTCAGCTCGGTCTGGAATCAATGGCTATTACTTTTATCATTCATAACTTTAATAATTCCAGAGATACATCCCATAATACATCCCATTTTTAACATGGAAGTCAATGGAGAAATTCTTCAGACTTCAACAATCTTCATGCAACTTCAACTGCTAACTGCTCCTTCTTCAACTGCTAACTGCTCCTTCATACCTTCACTCAGAAACCTCATTCCAACTTTAAAATGTCACACATCTTTCTGAAATTATTCGTGTATCAGCTTTTAAATCTGATTCTTACTTTTACAGATATTAAACATTGTTCAGACCTTGGCAAAGAGGCCTTCTTCAGATTTTAGAGTGCGCAATGTCACAGCTAGAGTGGAGACAGATTTGATTTTGCCTTCATATTTTCTTTTAAACCTGCCATAATTCCCAAACCCTACATTCCAGAGACATACTTTTTCATGAGAAATGTAGGAAAACATCTCGTAGCTTGGAAAATGAAAAGAAATTAAGCAAAATAATTAAACAAAATGCCTCTTGAGGGCATGAAGTGACAACAACTTTCAACATGTCTCTATTAAAGCCAATTGTAAATTCAAGTTGATCTTTACTCACAGCATTAGCCGCACACCTTTAGTTAATCTGCCAAAAAGGCCACATTATTAACCCAAAAGTACACAAAAATTACACTTCAGATGCTCATGTTCCTTGACATGATTCACACGTTGAAATTTCACCGATATCTGTTACGGTTCTTCAACAAAACGTTCACATGTAAGAGGTTTATCTCATTCCGAACAATGCAAATGCTCTCCTCTCACAGATTACTTCACATCACCATGGAAACCTTTGATCTCTGGACACGTCGTTAGCTCAAATATAAACACCTGTGTCATGGAACACGATGATGTCATAACTCCAACTGACATGCTCAGAGCAGCAGACTTCAGATAATGGTTAATGGTCCAGCCTTCAACATGTCTATGTGCCATTAGTGATTTTTCCTCAAAAGCTGTTGCCATGGCAATGCATCCATCGCCCTAAAACACTATATTGCTATAACTCCTATGAAAATGGTCAAAAAGTGCTCAAACGCCACATGTGTGCTAACAGTCCAGGGTTGCGTTCGGATAGTTTAAAAATCAGCTCCTAAATTCTAACCCTATCTCCTATTCCTTGACCTCTGAGTGAAACGTCACGGGGTTAAGGGATAGTGGATAGGAGAATTCAAAAGGACTTAGGAGAAGAGACTGCGGTACTTTAGAGAATCCGACGTGTTTATGATGCGCCAGCGGACGTCATTGTGTGCGTCTGCTGCTGTGGGGAAGCTATGGAAACTACAGTGTTCTATACAACGGACTACATGGATGTTTAATAAGAACGAGGGACNCGACGTGTTTATGATGCGCCAGCGGACGTCATTGTGTGCGTCTGCTGCTGTGGGGAAGCTATGGAAACTACAGTTTTCTATTCAGAGGATTACAACATGGATGTTTAATAAGAACGACGGACTCATCTAGAGACTCTGCACCGTGCTCTGATGCTGTTGCTTTATGAACAACAGAGAAACATATTCTTCATG